ATAATTTATATCTAGTAATAAAAGCTTATTATGCTAATTAGACTGGACAGCTGAACGACCTTCTCGATGACCTTCCGGATGAAGCCGGCACACACACACACACACACAGTGCACGAATTTTATGCATCAGGCCTCTCCATAAAATGGAGAGGAGCTTACAGTAGACAGTTGGGGGTTTTAGAATGCCTTTGTGTCAGGGAAGATGATTTGTAAGGGAATTCATCTTAACTCCCATATTAATTGGTAGTTGTTGGTAATTTTGGAAAAATAAGCTTATTAAGGGAAATAGCCAGATCTTTGCCAAGTCCATATTTTCAATACAATATCTGTCTTCAGATTTTTAGAACCACTTAGGTTTACACTTAGCAACTTTGTAAGTTTTAAACTACTGTAGTCTTATTTAGGATTGATTATCTTTTAGGTAAATAATGGCCCAGGGATAGAAGCAAGGAAAGAAAGTAAAATCATGGTATATTCCAGGTGCCTTACATATGTTAATTTATTTAATCCACAACAACACTGTGAGACTTAGGTATTTCTATTATCCCAGTTTTACACGTGAACAACCCAAGGCAGATAGGTTGGGGTAACATGCTGCCCAAGGTCACATACCCAGAATGTGAGAGCTGGAATTTAAGCCCAGGATGCTTGATCCTGGAACCTATAGTGTCAAATGTCTTAAAAAATGATTTAATAAATCAGTGTGTTTAAAATGACTTATTTTCTGCACATAGAGGCATCTCCAATCCAGAAACCCATTTGCCTTCTTTCTCCTGTAGTGGATACCCTCATTTTCACATAGAATTTGTGGTTTTGCCTGTTGGTCTTTCATGCTTAATCTAAAAAAAATTTTTTATATTTTTATAAAACATAACCATATAATCTTAAGCACTTAAAAAGTGAATAATACAAACGGCTTTTAACATTTCTTTATAAGAGTATGACTTGATTTTTCTTTGTTGGAATCTTTTTTCACTGTAATGCTATTATATGAATATATATTTGTTATTCTAGTCCTGATTAAGAATTTACAAGGTATTCTCTAGACTTGGACTTTGCAGAGAAAAAAATATTTTTATTACTAGATAGTGCATTGTTTGTACGTACTTGAATTTATAATTTCCTAACTATATTGTATTACTCAGTATTGGCTATATACATATATTGAATTCATTAAGATTTGCCAAGAATTTATGAAAAGTTTGACTCGAGAGCCCACATTCTTAAGTAGACCATTATGCATAGTATCTTGGCCTTTTTGAGAAATTTGATTTGAATATGATCAAATTGAGTAGCAAACATCTCATTATGAAGGAACACTCAAGATCTTGTTTCTCATATAAAAACAGTTGGAATCGAAAGTGTTTAAGATTATTTCCTTTGTTATCTCAGTGACTTGGTCATGTGTAGATTATGACAAAAGAAGAAAAAAATAGGCTACGAGCTAAAAGAACCCATAAATGTGTTAGCATGTCTTTTATTTTATAAACACAAAAAACATAAGTGAATGACGGTACTTGATAACCCCCTTCCCTTTTGTGTAGACCAAAGAGAGTCTACGATATGCATTAGAAACTTTGACTATGAATGGCTGCTCAGTTGAAGATCTGGGATTGGATTTCACTCTGCCAGGGTTTCCCAACATCGAACTGAAGAAAGGAGGAAAGGATATACCCGTCACTATCTATAATCTAGAAGAGTATCTAAGGGTATGTAATCGCGGCGTCCTTTGGGGAGAAGACCATCTGTGGTGATGCAGAGCTTTGCCTGTGGCTACTGCTCTGAAGGAGAGGGAAGGGGCCAGTCCACTAAAGCACAAGGTGCCAGCTTAGCTGCCTGCACGGACTAGTTTGAGACCTTTGACCTGTGGGATCACTGCATGAAGTTGACTTTTTCAGCCTTAACTCTGTTTGTTCTATGAGAGGATATATTGGATATTTCACAATGCCTTCTACAATCTTGAGTTTGCTGTTCTTAAGCTTAAATACTACCTTAGACGATCACATTTCACATTTTGTCACAGTTTGAGTAGAAATTACTGAAAAGGAGCTATCCCTTGTGATTAAATCGCTATCAAACCAGATAAAAATTGCCTCTAACACACACACACTAACACACACTCGCACATTTGTGGGTTTGATGAGGCTTTTCAAATTACCAATTCATGGTCCTTACCTTTATAAGCTGAATTAAGGAAAAATAATTTTATATTGAATACAAATTATGTTTTAAATTACAACCCATGAGGTCTTTATTGCTACTTTTTGAAAAGTTTTTTTTTTGTTTTGTTTTTCTAGACATTGAGTGGAAAGAGCATTGTGTTCAAGATGAAATATTACCCCTCAACCTAGACCTAACTCTTCCACTAACTTAAGTGTGGGATTTTAGATAGAACCTCTGAAAATTTTTAGCTCTGGTTTCTTCACCG